AAAAGCATTAAAAAGTACATAGATAAATTAGATAGCAGAATTGACATCAGCATCCTTCAAAAACAAGCAGCCATACACACATCATTCATACTCAGTAAAGTATTGGAAGATACTGTTTTCTGTCTTATACAATACACGAGACCAACACATACAAATCACGCAACAATCAAAATCACCAAACACACCACATCTATCAATCACGCCCATACACCGGACACACCACAGCCATCAAACACACAACGGATAAGAGGAAGAGGGCGAGGAAGGAGAAGAGTAGCAACTCGCACACAATATACTACAGATGCACACTAGTTAGGTGCTTCTCATAATTAATCATATATATTTTACGGTTTATTATATATATAATACATCAAACTAAACTACATAATAATAGATAATAGAAGACATATTGGCAGTGGCGGACTAAGCCCGTCAGAGACCCGGGGCGGCAAAGCTGAATGAGGCCCCCAGCTTTAAAAAAATGTAGATTCTTATGTTTATTTCGATAAAACCAGTCTTGTCAAATTCACCATAACTTTGTGTCAGATTGTCAACTGCTGCAACCAGAGCGTCTTCTGAAGTTTCTAGCATAAACTTTGTTTCAATAATTTGGAAAATATTTTTGATTTTTCTAATAGCCCAATTCGAAATTTTTTGTATAAAGCGGTCTATGCATTCATACATTGACCGACATATTTCTTCTTGAATTGATAATCCAGCATCATGAGCTGATTCACCCGGCATCGTTCTTTATACCTTCATTTTTCCTGGTTTCTTGATGTTGAGTAACCACCTAAATACTTATTCAAGGAGTTTAGTTTGATGATTCCTGTATCCAGTCATTTTTGGAGACCGCAAATATTGTTAGACTTAAATAGAATGTAGTGAATGTAAATCTATGCGTACAAGAGTAAATTATTTGCACTTCATTCATTCAGGGATTCCTGAGGAAGTACCCGCTACAAAGACGGGAATTCCCCCAGCGTATTGGACGCGTTCAGCAAAGTTAAAAAAATATTAGTACCGCGTAAAAAGTCTAGATTACTGTAGTTTTGATCTTGATGAAATTATGAAGGTACTAAGCACATTTTTAAAGTCTTGTTTAGGATTTGATCAGGGTAACGCGGAGGCATTTGGGGGCCCCCCAAGATCGGAGGCCCGGGGCGGGCCGCACCTTCCGCCCCCCTGTTAGTCCGCCACTGCATATTGGGGATAAAGATACCTCTTTTCTTGTGGGTTACAGAACGGGGTATTAATTAAAACCGACAAAATTTCGAGATGGTGAACTCAACCAATCATTAAAGATAGTATCCTACTATATAATATAGTATCCTACTTTATTAGGAGATCAAATAATATATTTCTAAAAAAATATATAGTAGGCGAAACTACTATATTTTGCTCAAAGCAGACTTTTGACAGTAAAAGCTTTCTTAAATATTATTAGAAATTATTATAATATTTATTAGTAAGGCAAAGAGCAGCAAAAATTTTTTTATTTCAAAAATAAAGTTAATATTTTAACCATATACTATATTTTTTTCTTTTTTTTGCCAGCTACTATATTTTTAGAAGTAACGCTTCGAAACTTTTTTTCTATAATATAGTTGGTAACCCTACTTCCACCGGTCAAAACCTGTTGGCGAATAGGCCTACTAATTATGTTCGCCATTTAGTACAGTCAATCTGTAGGTTGAGTGGTGACAAAAAAACCTAAAGGGTAAGTCTTGTTTTTTCTGTTGCCAAATGACGTCAGTAAGCCACCTTGGCGATGGCCATGTTCAACTCGTAGGCGTTTATTGAAAAACTCAAAAAAACCCTCAAAATTTTTTGAAACGCATTTTTCTTGTTTTGTATGTTTTAGAAACTTTTTTTTCGACCACAATAGGGAAGATGCATATATCATATTTATGAAAATTTAATGATTAAAATGTTAAAAAAATATAAAAGAAATGCCACTGCAACGTTTTTATTTTACATAATGTTGTTTTTTAACAATTATTACGAATTAAAAATACTTGAAACGGAACGTATTTTAAAACACCAATCAGCGTTTAGTGACGTCACTCCTGTTATGAAAACTTCTTTGAGGTTATGGTTGTTAAAGTAAATATTATTTTATGGGAATATTTATTGCGTTTTTTTACATTTAATAAAAATGGAAGTTGTGTTTATCAAAGCAGACTCCAGGAATTTACCAAGAGTTAGCGTTGACATGGTTATAACTTTTTTTGTCCAAAGTGCAGAGTTTTTAAGTGTAGAAATGAAAAGGACTAAATTACTACGGTATGCAAAAATCGTAGTTGTTAAACTTCGAATTTTATTCAGCGGCTTCTACAAATCTTACGGCGATAATGCAATCGGCTATGTCCAAATATCTAATTTTCGACGTCATTCTCCAACTGTAAAATTAAAAATATGTTATAGACAGGTTTTGTAAGTATTAGGTAGGTTACTAATGCGTTTTTACGTACAAGCAGATTAATTAAGCATATAACAAGTATATTCGCCGACTTACGTCAAAGTGATCTTCTCACCATCGAATCGGTCTTTGGAGAATAATTGTCATTTCTCTTCGCAGCTTGAAACCACTTTTTTTTCAGTTTTGGGTCAGAAGTTCCAGTCAAAAACAATTTATTTGGGAACTTTGTTGAAGTAGATTGGCACAAAACATGAGTCAACACGGCTTTTTTCGGAATATTAGTGGTATTGTTATGATCACATGATGTTGATGGATAGTCCAATTAAAATTTTTCAAAAAAATATTTCGAAAGTCGAAAAAATATGCAAAAGTATGAAAATTTAAAGCCAGCAACGAACAATTACGACCAGTGACAGACAGGAGTGACGTCATCGCAACCATAGGTTCGTTTTCGCGCGAAAATTTAAATTGTTAATTTAAAACCACATTTTTTCCGATAAATCACAATGTTTTAATTTTTTAATATATCTGTGGTTTATTATACATGGAATTCTTTAAAATGAAAACAAAAATAAAAATATTGCATCTTCCCTATTGTAGAGGGCGTTGAGTACTACAATTTATGTCATTGTTGCAATCTCATACAAAAAAAAATGCGCATTGTAGGTGGCGCTAAAGTCTCAAAAAAGTGTTTTTTCACTTTTTCACCCTGAAAATATCATTTTAATGGAAAACTTTAAATGGAAAAGTTGTTCCGTCCATAATTGTCAACAACTTTTGTATAAACATTTTTTTTAAATTACTTACAGTTTTCAAGTTACAGTGCAATACAGCGCTACGTATACAACACAGTGCTAACGGTAATTTTTTCGGTCCTATGGAGACTTTATTCTTGGAGTTAAAGTTTATTATTAAATTTTGAAGCGATTATCATGTATTAATTCAAGTTGCACATCTGAAATATTTTTTTTCCCCAAATGTTGCTCGGACGCATTAACAGCAGGAAATTAGTTAATAACAATTTAGAAATTTTATCTCATATGTTCGACAAAATAATCATTTTTCTATCAACTACTTTTGTTCCTGCAATTAATTCATTCAAGAAAATGAAGGGACTCAACGCCCTCTACAATTATGGTCGAAAAAAATAGTTTCTAAAATGCATACAAAACAAGAAAAATGCGCTTCAAAAAATTTTTGAGGGTTTTTTGAGTTTTTCAAAAAACGCCTACGAGTTGAACATGCCCATCGCCAAGGTGGCTTACTGACGTCATTTGGCAACAGAAAAAACAAGACTTACCCTTTAGGTTTTTTTTCACTGAAACGATTTTTTTTTCGACAGATTGACTGTACTAATTGTGGATTTTGAATATCATTAATAATTTTAAAATTCTCTGTACCGCAAAATAATGTTCAATATGAAAATTTCAATGTTTGGAGGCGACTATGTTATTGATTTCCTTTATTTGTATATTATTCTGTATAAGACCTAGCCCAAGTCCCATACAAATATCAAACACTTCCTTTTTCAAACAAATGTACTTATAATGTACCTAACAATTTTTGTGATAGTAAAATTTATAATATTATAATATTTTTATTGCGGCTCAAAAGTGGTCCGCTTAAATTGTGGTGCATGACCATAATTCGCTTTAGTCACAATTGGACATTCAAACACGCTGCATGTGCACTCAATGTAACAATATTGCGTATATTCTGTGTTATAAAGATAAAACAATGCCTTCGAAGATTTTATAAAGAACACAAATAGTTTCAATAATAATAATCAATAATCAAAATCATTTATTCAGTTTAGGCTGTTACAAGCACATATGAATGTCTAGAAGCTACGCCATCGGTTCGTAAATCTACGGCGGGAGACCTTGTACTGAGTTCAAAATCAAATAACGAATGGCCCGGCAACACTTCATTCGTAAAACTGTAAAAACAATTTTTCTCAGAAATCACGGTTTGTCGTGAATATTATTTACGTAATCGCCATTTTGTTATGAAGAAAAGGACAACAAATCAGCTCAACCGTACGGACTCGGAAGCGGATTTGCCGTTTCGCTCGGGCTGCGTTGAAGCGTACAGTTCTGTCTCGCTCTCTCCATTGAATTTTTATATACAGACGTGTGGCGTGTAGGAGTTGCTTATGTAGTTGAGTCGGATCATAATTTGTTAGGTGCTAGTATGAGCGTACCTTATCTTTCCTTTTTGTTTTAATGTAAGATTTTTATATATAAAATTATAATAGTCATGATTTATTATTATAGGTAAACAGAGATCCCCATAGTCGGTAACGCAAATATAACGCCTCCGTGTTGCAAGCGTATAAAAGCTTTGGTAAACCAGTACCTTAGCACGAACCGATATCGAATTCGTAACGTTTGCGAGTCCGAAATGTCATTGTTATAACTGTACTGATTTTTAGTTGTCATTACGTACTTTGTGGCGCTGCTGTTCAAGTTTCCATACAAAATTTGACATTGACATTTCGCACTCACAAACTATTCGAATTCGATAAGGGTTCGTGCTAGGGGTACAGTATAATAAGCCTGAAATGTCCTATACAAACCTGTGATTGTAATAGTCCGGCTCGGCCAGCCGAACGTTGAAGTTATTGATATCGGATTGCTGGACGACCATAGCGGTGGACAGGACTGGCATGAGCAGCGAGTGCGGCACGAAGGGCGGCGGCACGAAGGGCGGCGGCACGAAGGACGGCGGCACGAAGGGAGGCGGCGCGGCAGCGAGGACGGGCGCGCGCGGCGTCTGCACTGCCTCAGACATCTCCACGTCCGAATCTAACTCCGTTTCCGCTTTCGAAACGTGTCTGTGTTGGACGCAAAATCACGCATACATTGCTACAAGGGTCTTTATGAATGTGAGTGACAGTTTTAAACTAAAAAAATAATAAAAAAAAAAGATTTTCCTTAAAAAAAGGTCAACTTAAAAGTGTATAATTTATATCTAAAAATGTATTCACGCGCGCTGCACTACCACAGCGCCGAAACTTTTTATGAATTTTAAGTTCTTAACGCGCCATGGTTTCAGAATCTTTCATAGAGGATTCATATCATGGTAGTCCGAGAGCGGGCTGTATAAAAGTCCTATGGATCAGATACATGAATAATTTTTGGGGTATGAACAATAAAGCCATAGGTCTAGAGGTCGACACCCCTGAAGTTGCCTGATTTTGCCCGCATGAAAAATTATGACGTCACTTTCGGTTTTTATTTTAGGTGTAATTGTAATTTATCAAATACATCAATAAAATGTATGTTAAGAGCCTGCTGAAAGCTTGCGCGATTTGAAACTAGAGCCTCTCAAATGAAAGCCAAAGGCTTTATTGTTCATACCCCAAAATTATTCATGTATCTGATCCATAGGATTTTTATACAGCCGGCTCTCCGACTATGGGTTTAGATAAAGTCTTGTATGCAAGTGTTATAATTAGGTAGTAAAACGATTTAAGGTGCGCTCAGAACATCCTATACCAGCGATGGAAAGTTTTTTCTTATAGTGGCAATATTCACTATCAGAATCTATGGTAGGCTAAGTTTTTGCTCGTGTCACTTACGATTTGCCCCTAGAATTTTTAAATTATCAAATCAAAATATTGGTAAGTGACGCAATTATTATTATCATAATAAAATTATTGTATTAGTCATCAATGTTATTATACTATGTAAGTCAGTACATGTTTATATCATCATAATATTATCAATGATTCAAGTAGGTACTGAATGTGATAATAAGAAAATTTTCTAATTGTAAGTATCTATTCATAAATTAATGAGACACTTTTATAAATAGAATCAAATGTTTTAGCAGGCGTTGTATAAACCATCATAGCGTTAAATACTGAACCAATTCTGATAACATTTAAATCTTACCCTTCTAAATTTAGTGTTAATTTGTACTCTTGCGACTTCTTTATCAGTTCAAACCATGTGGGCTTCTCAGGTTCCCCAATATCAGAGTTGAACGACGAACCAGGCCTGAAATAATTTAAAATATTACACAGTGCCACAAATATTCATTTCTATTGATACCTGAATATTATATATCTACTCTTGTGTGACCATACCGATTCTGAGTGGTATCGACCTACATGCACCGGAGATTAGGATTAACTAGCAAACCTGTGAACCAAATGTTCACAAAAAAAAACTTATCAGACTATTCTTAACTTATAACTTAAACATTCTCTATATCTATCTCTTACGGTTTGGCCGCTGAAACAGCACCACGGACGGACGGACGGACGGACGGACTTGTCTAATAGATAAGAGATTCTATTTGTAGATTGGCAATGCAAAAGAGACAGAGACAATAGCTGCCTATGTTAGAGCGAGATAGATATATTAGTACACGCTATTGGCCTGCCACTACTCTTCCTCCACATATGCGAATCTATCTACCGCACACATGTAATGTGTAATCTGTGTAAAATTTGACAATTCTGTTGCCAATCTACAAATATAATAAATCTATGCATATGGTTAACACCAAAGAATCTAAATATTTTTATATGCGTGTGGTTAACATACTCAGGGTTGTCAATCAAGGTTGTTTCTTCTGAGAGATCCTTGGACTGAACGAAACTGTCCATTTCATTTATATGGTAATCGCCGCTACTGTCAGTTATATCGTTTATTGAGAATTTCAATTGACCTATTAAGAATAAACAAAAACCACTTAAAATCTGAGGAACAAGAGGACACTGAAATTTGATTTGCAATTATTATTAGTTAAAATCACTTAGTCTCTCGACTTCTCTTTAGAAAAAAAACCGCGTTCATAAAAAAAATGCTGAAATATTTTTTCTAAATTACCTATGAGCAACGAGCATATAATATGTATTTTTTATTATTTAGTAAATATTTATGTGTTTCCAACGATAACTAAATATTATTAATATTATTAATTAATATTGCATATTAAAAATAATAATACTTACTTTCATCAATTGGTATTATTTTACCAGCAACCTCATAAAGGGTTACAGCATTCCAGAAGTGTGGTATACGAATGAATACTTTCCCCGAATCGACTGGCATATGGAATCCAAGCTTGTGTAACAATTGCAAAAACTTCAGATCTTTGCAAATGGCAGCTTGATCGCAATTCCATGGGACCAGAGGAACAGATTGATTGCACACTGTAATAAGATTTAAAATTAGGTACCTCTATTGTTTTTTTTGGCGTGCATTGGGGGACACCTATGTCCAACAGTGGACGAGCATGAGTTGATGATGATGGTTTTTACGAATATTTTCTCTGTAAAACTATAGATATGACCACACACAGCTGGACTTCTTTTTCGTAGCTATACTTCCCTTACTGCATAAGACCGTTAAGGTCACAGCTGATTAGCGTCACGCGGCATCGCCTTGGCGCGCGATGTCCACTGGTGGTCGGCCAGCGAACTCAGGTTTTTTTTTTGAGTGTATAATATGCTGGTTGGTTGCAGACCTTTACAGCGTCACTGGGTTTGGGGACGGCGAGATCCTTAGGGGCCCTCTTGCCGAGAATTGGCGAGTGCCTCTAGAGGTATTCCAGGCGGATGGCATCTCCCCATGGGGAGAGTCTCCTCTCAGTCTGGAGCCTCTAGACCACTCCAACCTGAGGGGGTCGGCTCAACTAGAGGGTGTCTTTGAGATTCGAACCTCGGCTCTAGTTAGACGTTGTGGGAGGCGCGAACTCAGATGGACGTCGCGTTGTCAACAGCGCGTTTGCAACCAGCGGCCAGCACACGGCAAGCTTGCGAGCGAGATGATGGTACGGAGTTGATGTAGTGAGCGCATAGGTAGCCATAGAAATCCATACAAGGAATATCAACCGCACGAGTAGTGGCGGTGCTGGTCGTGTGACGGTAGGGTCTATTGAGCGAGGTGTGACCTTTGGGCTGCAAGGCAGCGCGGAAAGTTTAGGTTCGAATCCCGTCTGATGATAGCATCGCGTGGTTTGTTTTCTTTACATTTAAAATTGATCAGTTAAATCCTTAAAAATATAAAAATCAAACCAATTATAGTATTTGATCCCTATATATATCATATATCTATATTTGTAGTAGGATTGGCAACCCTAAATGTACCCGTCCCTACAGATATGCTCATGGTACAGAACGATCTAGTTGATAAATATGTTATCATGAAAAACAAAATAATTTAAAGAAATATTTATTTAAATTTGTTAATTTTCTCTGGTGAAATCCAAGAGCGAGCTATAATATGACTTATGCACTTGACATTGGACGAAATTCAAAAAATGGCACGTTCAAAATCACGGACTACATTAGTCATAATATAAATTCCTCCAGTAAGGGGTCAGTAAAAAGATAATACCTAAGTTTCAAAAAACTCACTAACAACAGAGAATTTATAGATACTTACAAAGAGAGTGAAATGACACGGGCGATACCACAGGTAAATCTTCCGTATTTTCTCCAAGATCTTCAATGTGATACTCTTTTCTCAAGAAAGCATTACCGCCATTATAATTCATTCGTTTTTTAATGCATATTTTTGCGTAACATGTTTCCAACAGTACTTTCTGAACCCACACAAGGAATTTAGACTTTCCATCTTGGGTGAGTTGTTCACACATCTTTATAATCTCATCATCTCTTATTTCTTTGTTTGGAGAGTTTTTCGGGCACCGCTCACTTTCTCCTTTCGAAAATTTGTCGAAGGTCTCCTTATCTATCAAATTTCGCTCTAAAAGCTCTTTGATGATCGAATCTCTCGATTTGACAATTCCATCCTCTTTGTAGATTTTCACGAGCTCCCCGATGGGATCCGATTGAGTACTGCACTGCATGTAATTCCAGCTTAGAGATGATAACCTAATCAAGGACAATAACTTGTTATGGAGAAAGGCAACCATCTTTAAACTCATTCAAAGACATCACTTTACATTAGTCTCATTGAATTTGATACATTGAAGTGAATTCGACTGAAAGCAACATTATTATTTAGGAATAATAAATTAATAGTTGAAGCGCATTTTTCGTTTATAATTATTGAAGGGACTATATTAGTCATCATCATCATCAGCCTGTTAATATCCCCTCTGGCTGGGGCACGGAATCAGTTCTCAGACTGTAAGTAAAATGAGTAAAATTTTTACGAACCTGTGTCACCTGAAAATTGGCCCACAGTCCAAGTTAGCAAGCCCACGAAAACGCTTCGAGAAATGTTTAAATTAATATCTTTACGCTCGCATCTCAATATATCGATGGAAACATCATGTTCTTACGCAAAAACTATGACACTTGTTGCATGTCGTTCCAGGTTTCAGGTTTAAAAAAACGAGAGGTTCCTATCTGGATGTGTTGTACTATTTAATAAAATTCCACAAGATTTAATTGGACTTCCTCTCACTAAATTTAAATCGAATGTAAAGAAGACCCTAATGATTAAGTTAATTACAAAGTGGAAGACTATTTAAAGGACCAAAATGCATGGAAACAATAGCCTCTGCTTTTATTTGTAAATAATAAATTGTGTAGGATTATCCTTTCTCTTTAATTCATTACAAAGAAACTATAAGCTGTCTGCTCTGTGTTATATACTATATTTTTTGTTTGGCTACTTTATTGGTATTTTTTATGTGGTTGGAGCAGTTATGCTCTCTTTAGTCTCTGTGGTGGTGTCGTATCGTGTGAGGCGTGTAGTTACTTTTCCTATAATACGGTTGAGTGAAGCGATGGCTGGTTAATGCGTCATGCTCGTGAACGAGTGTTGCCGGTGATGATGGGTATGCTCTCTACTACCGAAAGGTTTATATAGTTATAACCGACATAAATTGCATTATTTATATTTATACAGTATGACACAGCAAAATGCTGGTCGACGATATTCAAGTTGAATTAATGTAATATATTAAATTCTCGTGTCACGGTGTGCGTAATTTATATGCATATTCAAAAGGTCTGAGAATGGGACAGCATCGATTTTCCATCCCCCTAAATTTTAAGGGTGGTCCAAAATTTTTTTCTATTTGTACAATTTTGTTTGTTTTCAATTTTTTACAATTTTATTTTATTTTATTTTATTTCTCGATTTGACAATTCCATCTTCTTTGAAGATTTTCACGAGCTCCCCGATGGGATCCGATTGAGTACTGCACTGCATGTAATTCCAGCTTAGAAATGATAACCTAATCAAGGACAATACAATAATACATCATACAACCCCTATTTTTTATGGCGGTACGAATTTCGCTGGGACAGTTAGTGTTTCTATATAATTCATTGACTTCGTATTGACACTGTTACACAACTGTAAAAAAATATCGATAACGATGGTAGCGAAGAATTTGGACGATTCAAAAGAGTTGTGTTGTGCTTCACATTTGAATAAAATAAGATTAAGATATAAAGATATTTTGACTTTGACTTGACATTGTGGATCTGGTATTCACCTATCTCTTTCCATAAGTGAAGTGCTCGCAGCGCTAGACTTCTTCTTGATGTCTTCGTGGTTCAGTTTACTGATGAACGACTCAACGGCGGCGTCAGGTTTGACAATCACATTGTCATCGTCAAAATTTTCAGTGTCTAATCGGAAGTTAGCAGAAGTGTGTAGAGTTTGCGGCTTTGTTATAAATGTATTAATCACGTATTCTATAAGATCAGACCAGTCCTGTAAAAACAAAACATAAAATTCAATTAAGAGCATTAATTTAAGCAAACATTGATTAACCCCTCGTGTGTGTAAGTGGTTAATTTCTGCCACGAGTTAAGAGAATTATTTTCATTTTATCATTAATGATTCTTATTGAACACATCTAATATATAGATTAAGTTTGTAGAGAAACTATTCAAGATTGATTTTAGACATAAATGAAGCCTGGCCAGTAGAACTCGAATAATAAAAGGGAAATCGGCCGGAAAACTTTTTGAGTTTTCGGCCGTGAAAAACAAAGTATATGGCTGGCATAGTAGATGGATGATTGGCATGGACACAGCCAAGGAGTTCATAAACACTTACGTAAGTGCCTTAACTCTTAATAAAGCAGGCACTGAACTTATTCCGGGTGGGTTAGAAATGGCTTCAGATGGTCTACCGTTAAATTAAAAAACAAAGAATCGAGGAAGAAACGCTGTAAGTACGTAATACAATAGCGGCACCGGTTTATTATTTTCATCGATTATTATTTATGCGTATAACACCAATTCGTTCACGACAAATAAAATGTAAAGGCGGGTGTGAAGTGATACGGTTGTAACAACAGAACACAGAAAGAGTTTAGAAAGCCTTGTGGGCTGCCGCGCCATATTTGTAAGTAAGCAAATGCTCATAATTTTGCCAAAATTTGAGATCGCGTCATTTAGTTTCTCACATTACGTGTGTAAGCGCTGTTTCGTCCAATTGTTTGATATGTCGTGTGGTTTGATTGCCTTGTTATCTATTTGGTAGAAATGTAGTGGGGGAGAGCCGGCGACATCGGTATACAAACGGTCCATGATCACCATTCTAACCACTTTCAGTGTTTAGTGGGTGTAACTGTGTAAGTACATAATAGGACGGATCAAAATTTTGACCTGAAGAAATGATTATCTATTAAACCAAAACTTACATCGCATATTTCGAATTCAGATTTCCAAATAGAAGTGAAGGTTTTTAGTATTTTTGGTTGGAAAAGAGTTATGAGACTACCGATTTCTCCTCCGACATGATGCATCAGCGTAAAAATGCAGTCATTGATAAATTCACCATTGACCGCATAATCTTCTAATAACAGCCCATATTTGTACATAAGCTCGCTTGTTGCAAATCTAAAAAAGATAAGTTGATTTCGTTACTTTGTTCTGGGAGTCTATTATTCTGAGCTGCAAATAAACGTAAGTTAATTCTACTAGTCAATCAGACATTCTTGATCCTTAAAATATTTAACAGATCTGGTGGCGATTTGCTGTGTTAGCGTAAGGACTTTAATATAATAATAACAGTAGGTACTAGAGTTAATAAGTTGCCCCGCATAATTCTCTTTATCAAGCTCAAGGTCACCCAGGGGTCAACTTATCTCTAGTCCTGATTGGCCATCTTAGATAATTATGTTCTTTTTTGTTTGTTACGTTAAGTTTTCTTATATTTTTTTATTATTGTATTTATAAGTTTTTCTTTTGTTAAGATAGCCAATAAAGGTTTCATTTCATTACATTTACACCAAAATTCTATCTTCATCGGACGAATGAGAAATAAGAGGTTAGTAAGTGCATGTAAATAGTGTATCTTAAGCCTTTCAAAAACCGCCGCCATTTTTTGTCTTTTAGCCCTAATCAAACATGTAATGCCCACGGCAAAAATTATGTCTACAAAATATGTAAATTAATGAAAATTCTAAATTAAATAAAAAAGATTATCACGCATCTCCGCAGACGCAGTGTTATGCCTACTTTAAAGGGAAGACAGAAGCACTTTACAAATGATACTGCAATGATCCCCCAGCAGCAATTTTATAAAGTCAGCCCTAGACATGTACCTGACTCTAAAGCAATATTTTTTTCTTGGGCAAGTATTAAGAATTACTTATACAGGTGTTTATGATTTAGGTACTTACTGTTCCATATGTTCAAGCATGTTTGCAGTTCCAGTATATTCTGGTAATTTCATAACATTGTCAAGGAATCTCAACAAAATATGATTGGTTACAATAAGATCCTGAAAGAGAAGAGAGTTTTGTAGTCCTGGTAAGTATGTATATGTTACCGGCCAAACCCGATTTCAGGACAAACTAGTTTTGCCTAGGCTAAACTGGTTCTTCCTATGCGCGATAGGATTAACTAGTATAGCCTAGTCCAAACTAATTTGTCCTAAGCCCGATAGGATAAACCAGTTTAGCCTAGGCCAAACTAGTTGATCCTGATAAAAATACGCATACTCTAGGATAAACTAGTATGGCCTAGTGTAAACATTATAGTATATCTAGAAAGTCAAAATAAATAGATAAACTGAATAAAATAATCCGTAATTGGAAAAATAATATTTTTTATTAAAACCATAATGATTCATCGTTACAAGTTATGGATAATTAGTAATACAAAGAAAAGTAAGAAAAGTTTAATTTTTCTAGTAAACTTTTCTTTAGATTTAAACACCTAGCAGTTAAATGCTTAAAAATAAATAAAAACACTAACTATAATTGCTATTTCTTCTTTCAAATGTTTAATACTTGAAAAAGTATTCATTTGACATTGTGGGTTGCGTGGTTGCAACCTACAATGCGAAGAGATGGCGCTGCCTTGCAGCTTAAGGCTAGGAAAATTTCGACGCGGCGAATAGGGCCGTGGTAGCATAATGGTCAGTGCATTCGCCCGGATTGCGAAGGGTGCGGGTTCGAGTCCGGTCCGCTGCCTGGTCTGCGTGGTTTTTTTTTCTAGTAAACTTTTCTTAAAATATTTTGAGTTTACAGTGAGATGAATTGTAAAAGGTTCGAATGATTCGGAATTTCTTAAGCCGGGTAGTTACTCATTGGCGAGCTGTAACCATAACCGTTGCACGCACTGTAACCAAAAAGCATAGTGTGTACGTGGTTCGATAACCTGCTGCGAGAACGGTACGCGTGCGGTTTGAAGCGAGCCAACGTTCACAACTGAGCTACTAGCGTACACACTAGAACTTCGTACTGTATCACGCATGTTACGGTAACAGATCGCTAATGCGTACCCGGCTTTACTGTCTTCCGAACTCCCGGCAACAACAAAAGAGTTAAACAAAAACCAATTACAGAAAAAACACTCCCTCCACTTTCTTCCAGCGTTCTTTTTACATGACGCGCCCTGTACAAGTCCTGACATGTTTGTTCAATTACTTTCCGCTTTGCTAAATTGGTTTAGATTAGGTCGTACTAGTTTATCCTAGAGTGTGCGTATTTATATCAGGATCATCTAGTTTGGCCTAGGCTAAACTGGTTTATCCTGTCGCGCTTAGGATAAATTAGTTTGGACTAGGCTATACTAGTTAATCCTATCGCGTATAGGAAGAACCAGTTTAGCCTAGGCAAAACTAGATTGTCCTGAAATCGGGTTTGGCCGGTAACATATATACGAAATTATATTAATTAATTACATCAATGAATGGAGTACGTCGAACCGGCAATCAGTCCGGATGCACTGGAAAAATCTCAGCTTTTTCTAAATAAGAATAAAAAATAGAATCTAAAGTAAAGGACTTTAGATTCTATTTTTTTTTTTCAAGAAAAAAAAACAGTTTCATAGTTGTGATAAAACTGTAACAAACCAAAATCTCTGTATTGTATAAAGTGGTACTTCACTCTAGAGATAACAGGGACACGTAGGTATATAAAAAATGAATCACGCAATAAGTAGTTATTTTCAACACAGTTGCTCAAAGAATGCATGAGGGTGATTCGAAGGTGAAAAAGCATCGGGGTATGAAAAGGGATTGAAGGGTGAAAAGGAAATTGATGGGTGTAAAGGGGACTCGAGGCGGAAATGGGAATCGATAGTGAATAAGGGATTAGAGAGTGAAAAGGGATTCGAAGGTGAAAAGGGGGATTGGAGGGTGTAAGGGATTCTAGGGTGATAAAGGGATTGTTGAGTGATAATGGGAAATGATAGGTGAAAAATGATTGGAGGGTGAAAAGGGGATTGGAGGGTGTAAAGAGGATTCTAGGGTGAAAATGGATTAGAGGGTGAAAAGGGGATTCGAGACTGAAAAGGGGTATTGGAGGGTTAAAAGGATTCGAGAGTGATAAGGGGATTGATGGATGGTAATGAGGAATTGGTGGGTGAAAGGGGGGATTGGATGGTTAAAAGGATTCGAGAGTGATAAGGGGATTGATGGATGGTAATGAGGAATTGGTGGGTGAAAAGGGGGATTGGATGGATAAGGGGATTCATCATTTCAGCCGAAAGACGTCCACTGTTGGACATAGGCCTCCCCCATGGATTTCCACAACGATTGGTCCCATGCTGCCCGCATCCAGCGGCTTCCCGTGACCTTTACCAGATCGTCGGTCCACCTTGTGGGGGGCCTGCCAACACTGCGTTTCCCGGTACGCGGTCGCCACTCGAGGACCTTTCCGCCCCAACGGCCATCGGTCCTGCGAGCAATGTGCCCTGCCCATTGCCACTTAAGGTTTGCAATTCTGTGAGCTATGTCGGTGACTTTAGTTCTCTTGCGTATCTCCTCATTTCTGATTCGATCACGCAGAGAAACTCCGAGCATAGCCTTCTCCATTGCCCTTTGGGTGACTTTGAGCCTTCTTACAAGACCCATTGTAAGCGGCCACGTCTCGGTTCCGTATGTCATCACTGGCAACACGCACGAATTGAAGACTTTCGTCTTGAGGCACTGCGGTAGATGTTCCGAGAAGATGCTACGTAGCTTCCCGAACGCTGCCCAGCCGAGTTGGATTCGTCGATTAACCTCTTTCTGGAAGTTGGACTTACCCAGTTGGACTATTTGTCCCAGGTATACGTACTGATCAACAACTTCCAGTGTAGAGCTCCCAACAGTCACTGGAGTGGGTACGACATGGGAATTCGACATGATTTTCGTCTTGTCCATGTTCATTTTGAGACCCACTTGTTGGGACACCCTACTGAGGTCGCCGAGCATTGTGCCAAGGTCATCCATGGTCTCAGCCATGACTACGATATCATCTGCAAATCGAAGGTGCGTCATGTACTCGCCGTTTATGTTGATGCCAAGTCCGCTCCAGTCCAAAAGTTTGAAAACGTCTTCCAGCGCAGCTGTAAACAGTTTCGGTGATATAACGTCACCCTGTCTTACACCACGCTGCAGCTGGATTGGCTTCGTGTTTTGGTCCTGGAGTCGAACTGACATAGTGGCGTTTTCATACAACGACTGCAACACTTCGATGTATCGATAGTCTATTTGGCACCTTTGGAGTGACCGAAGCACGGCCCATGTCTCGATCGAATCGAAGGCTTTCTCGTAGTCCACAAACGCCAAGCATAATGGCAGGTTATACTCTTCGGTCTTCTGTATAACCTGCCGCAGCGTATGGATGTGGTCTACAGTACTAAACCCTTTTCGGAATCCGGCTTGTTCGGGAGGCTGGAAGTCGTCAAACCTGCGCGCGAGACGATTCGTGAGGACTCTCGAAAACAGCTTGTATACATGATTCAGGAGCGTGATGGACCCTGTCGCCCTTCTTGAAGAAAAGCGCCACCACTCCCCTATGCCATGCGCTAGGCGTTTTGCCCTCGAGTATGACAGAGTTAAATAGCTTCTGAAGAGATTTCAAGACTGGTCGTCCACCTGCTTTCAGAAGCTCGGCTGTAACTCCGTCATCACCCGGCGCCTTTTTGTTTTTGAGCTGTTTCAGAGCTACACTAATCTCGTACAGGCTGACGTCCGGGATATCTTCGGTGTAGTGTCGGGTTAATTTGGCTCTTGGGTCGGTCGCCTTTGTGACAGGTACTCGTGATGTCGCGTATAGCTGTCCGTAGAAGCTTTCGATCTCAGCCATAAGCTCAGGTTGCGACGAAATGATTCTGCCGTCCTCCGTCTTCAGCTTCGTCAGCAAACTTTGTCCAAGAGACAGATTTCTTGCGAACACTTTCGAGCCTTTGTTCCGCTCGATGGCCTCTTTAATACGATCAGTATTAGGATAAAGATAAGGGGATTGGTGGGTGATAATATGGTATTGGTAGATACCTATAGGTACTGTTTCCTCGCAAATGTGTTGAAAAACGTATGATATTCGTGCGGATTGGTATTAACAATTTCGTGACTATTTTGTATCATAAATGTTTTTTTTTCTTGATACTATTCTTCTAATACTTAATAAACACGATTTATAAATGAATAAATATAGGAAGAAACATGTAACGCGATCGGGCTTGACAGTAACTATTTTTACCTGTAAATACTGTTTGGAGTGATATTTTGGATTATAGTGTCGCAAAAGCAATACCAACAATGAACGCAGTTCTTCCGTATCGCATATTTGAATTTGTAATCGTACAAGTGCATTCTGGTCCTCTTGACATATATGCGTAAACTTTTTATATACTTCAACTGCTTGCACAAACTCGCGAATAGCTGTAACCACCTGAATCCAAGAAAAAATATTATCTACAAAAATACCTATATATATGCATTGACTACTTTTAATCATAGCCAATCATTAATTTAAAAGATATCTTATATACTTTAACGTGACAAAAGACTAAACTGTATTGCAGCATTTAGTTCAAACTGAATGGTCTAACGTCATTTTGTTCTGTCGACATGTAGGTAATTAATTACTGCACGTACGATCATTGTTACACCTACTTTTATCACAATGGACTGCATTACAAATTATAATAGTTAGCTCATAATTACTTTCATGTGATTAGAGTCTAAACTAAAAGTTACACATTTTTATTTTTCTACTACTTGACATTATTCAGAAATTCTCTAGATTACCTAATAAAGAAAATTTCTTTATTTTAAAAATTTAACAGTTTCAATTAAAAATATTATAATTTACAATTTTATTGCTATTTCTTCTTTTAGATATTTAATACCTGTAGTAAAGGTATATCGTTTGACATTGTGGGTTACCTACAAGTAGAGGATACGGGTCCCGGGATCGTATCATACTTTAATCCCGAAATTTTCGGGATTTAATGTAATGAATCCCGGGATTTTCGGGATTGATATATTTTTTTATAAAAATGTACGTGTAACGAAAAGCGCTTACTTTCATTTGATGTTTTGACGGCCATCATTTTACACAGCTGACATCATTTATTTTTGCTAACGACCGGTGCCGGATTATATGTAAGTGTGTAAAAATTCCGCTTCACGTCGTGTATTTAAATTTTTTTCGTTAATTGGTGATAATCAATGAATTTATTAAAAAACAACCAATGCATAAACCAACGTGTCTGAGTTAATATAGATAATAAACAACGACTGTTATTTTCTGTAGCTCTAAGAGGTTATGTTTATGTTGTGCATAGACTTAAATATTCTTTTCATTTTTCTTTAGGTTTGAAAAGTAAACAATGTCATTATCCAAAGAAAGTTTTGATGTCAAGCATAAAAAAGATGAACATGTTTTGTCACTGTGGAGTCATTTTTTAGTCTATAAAGCGGGGAGCTCAGCATAATGTAAGCGTTACTAAGCTATTTTAAAGACTTTAGGAGGATCGACCAACGGCCTACATACTGATCTATCTTCAAAACATTCCATGAAAGTAGATTCTGCTAAGGCCTCTTTCTCAACGGGCCAAAATAATGAAGGACCACCTACCTATAGTCTTTTTTATATTATATCTAAACAAGTCTTAAGAATTTGATTTTTTTAAGTTTGTTGTAAAATAAAATAAACAAACTAGGCAATTCTGTAAATAATTTATGAAACTATTTCATCATCATAAAAATAATTTATGAAACCATTTCATAAATTATATTATTGTAGGTAGAAAAGTATAATTTTGTTTTGTTTGTTAAAGATTTAAAACAAAAAGTTGATTTTGATATGTTTTACTGCCTTTTTGTAACCACTTCATATTACCAATACAATCCCGGGATTAACTGTAAAAAATCCCGAAATCCCGGGATTAGAAAAATCAACCGGGATCGAATCCTCTACCTACAATGCGAAGAGATGGCGCTGCTTTGCAGTCTCAGGGTGTGCGCTACTTTAAGCGGGACCACGGAGCGGACGTCCGCTCCTCGTGCAGTTTCATGTCATTTCATAGAACAGCGCTCCGTACTCTGCTCCGCTTAAGGTAGCGCAAGTCCTTAGAAATACCAACTAGATGAAATTAAAGCCATTAAAGTCTCGGTAGCATAATTACTTAGTGCGTCCGCCCGGATAGCGCAAATGCTTTCGAATTCTGTCTGAAACCTGGACCGAGTGGAATTTTTTTTAGTAAAATTTTCTAGATTTCAACATTCAGCAATTAAATGCTTAAAATCAAAAATAAAATAATATCAGTAATACGTCAGTATAACTGAAAAACGTATGCCATTTTTACCGAAAGTGGTAATTTGGATCCACTCATCAGGCTTATCGATATATAGTATATTCTCGAAAAATAACAGGAAATACCAAAAATTATTCTCGTTACATTTATTTATTACTACAGGCTATAGGTTCACAGGTTTATTCATGTAATCGCGTGAGTGATACATTACCACACTGTACGGTATTGCAGCCTTGTAGGCTTCTGTGGCGGCCAGATACCATCAGCCAGGTTACTTGTTTGTTTGTTACCCATACGGCGACTTACCCAAAATTTTGATTAGCGTCATCTTAATTGAATTCAAAATTATGTTTAGGCTAATCAAAATAACCAATGTCTTTAACCATAAAGTAACGCAGCCGATGCGGATAGGAGGGGAGTAGCATAATGGCATAATACTACTGAAATCATTCTGCCGCTTTTTGCGGGGGTATGAATATGCACACAAATGCATTCCATACATACAACATACTTTCGCAAAAACGAAATTGTAATTACGACACTCACACATAAAAAATAACAGCGCTAAATCGGGCATAGATGAAACTAAAGATTTTTTATTGACAGATCCGAAATTTGTATTGGCGAGTTGAATGTTTTGTCAAACAAGTCCGACGGTTGCATTTTAACATAATAGTATGGTAAACGACAAGTCCGCTTCCGCGTCCGTACAGCTGAGCTGTATTGTTTTCCTTTTCTTGATAACAAAATGGCGATTACGTAAATAACATTCACGACAAACCGTGATTTTTGAGAAAAAAAAATGTTTTTACAGTTTTACGAATGAAAAGTGTTGCCCAGGCATTTGTTATTTGATTTTGAACTATTTGTTCTTTATAAAAGCTTCGAATGCAATGTTTTATCTTTATAACACAGAATATACGCAAAATTGTTATATTGAGTGCACATGCAGCGTGTTTGAATGTCTAATTGTGACTAAATCAAATTGTGGTCATGCACCACAATTTAAGCGGATCACTTTTGAGCCACGAGTGCCGTATCTTCCCTTTTGTTTTAATGAAAGGTTAAACGGATAGAATTTTACGTCAAAGAAAAACCATACTTTTTGGCAGATTCAAAATCAAATAACAAATGCCTGGGTAACACTTTTCATTCGTAAATCTGTAAAATTTTCATTTTTTTCTTAAATAATCACGGTTTGTCGTGAATGTTATTTACGTAACAGCCAAGGAAAGGACAACAATACAGCTCAGCCGTACGGACTCGGAAGCGGACGCGTCGTTTCTCTCGCGCTGCGTTGAAGCGTACAGTTTTACTATAACCAGCTAGCTGCATCGTGATTAGTAGTTGGTGAAAGACATTTGAGCCTTAAACATAATTTTATGTTTAAATAAGATTTTAGATTTTATTAATAAGAGTTGGTGAAAGTGGCCCTTACATTATACATTTAAATATTCATTATTGAGTTACTAAAACCGATCTGAAATTAAAAGAAGATTAGTTCAATGAAACTTTTTTCATTACCAAATGGAGCCTTCGTATGCTGGGCTTCAAATCATTTCCATCCAATTTCATAGCAAGTTCGAATTGTTCACACAAATTTACTCCTTCTGCGGTTAAATAGGATGCTATATCAAATGATAACACTGAACAAACATGTTTCAAGTCCAACTCTATTTGTGTTGCAAACTTAAGAAAGTATGTCACAAGCCAAAAAAAATGCGACATATCTATTTCCAATTGTAGGTTTATAACAATTTGAGTCTGCAGCGTCTTTACTAAAGAATTATAGCCTTTGAACAAAAAGTCAACAGTAAATTCTTTTAATACGTTAGATATGTCATCATCGTTTGGAGTTTTATGAAAAAGACCTTGCACATTTAAGCTGAAAAAAAAAATACAAAATTTCATAAATATGTAGCTAATAAATCCAATTTTCACCACAAACAATTTAAAAAATCGAAGTAATTACATATTTGCCTTTCCCCTTTTGACGAGTTTTTTCCTCTTTCCGTCCTGAGTTGTAGTGCCTGACCTAGCTTTGTAGTTGATTCTCTGTTTCGGATTGTGTGGTTTCTGGTGGACAGGTTCTTTAGTAGGTAACTCATCTTCGTTACTAGAAGTTGAAATTGAACCTTGGGTGTCGATTTGTGTTCCGTAGCCACAATCTGAATTATCTGTTATAATTGTATTTTTTCCTTTTGTCTTCGAAGCCTTACTTTGATCTGATTGCCCGCTCATTGTACAAGAAGAATTTGCCACCTGTAACACATTATAGCTATTGTGTTAAGATTACGCTATAGTAATTGTATAAAACGAAGCAATTTGGTTATGTACCTACATTATTAAAATCCATCTCTTTATTTGTGTGTTCATTATAATCACTTATTATTTTATCAGTTTGCTTTCCAGTTGCTGGGGGTGGCGGTTGGAAAGGCTCGTTGCTATTTTCAGTGCTATTGTTAGCAGAGGACCCGTTCCAATCATTAAAAACTGAATTGACATTAGTTTGGTCGTTACTTTTCCCACTACCTCCATTGTCTGATGAATCGGATGTAGGGTCAGACGTAAGCATTGGCGAGGAACCTTCACTGTCTTAAACAAAATATAAAACAGTTGTAAACTAAAATTGTATTATTGCAAATCATCTCACCGCACGACAAAATTATTTTTTGCCAGAAGTACCTTAAATAAATATCTTAGCATAGTATTATTTCTTATTTTTTTATGTAGCTGTACATAAATATTCATAGTACAAAGATGAAATGATTAAATTTTAGACAAATCGATGTTTTTAGAGTTGTTAACATTAAAAGGAAAAAACAGAACCTGTTAGTTCACTTTGCTGTCCTTCTGTCTGTCTGTCAAGACCCTTTATCTCAGGAACGCGTGGAGTAGAGGTATCGAGTTAAAATTAAAACCTAATACTCAGATTTACGATCCCCTGAAAATAAAAAATTCAATTTCTAAGTTCAAGGGGAAAAGGATGCGGCCATTTATGTAGCGTAACTACAATTTGTAGGGAACCCTCGGTGGGTGAATCCGGCACGCACTTGTACGGTTATTTTGTTCGATTAACAATAACAATGTAAAAATAAACACAAGAGTGATGTTTGAGCTCAGCAACAAGCAGAAAAATCACTATTGCAAATAAGTAAAAGCAGTCGTGTCATGCCAAAAAATACAAATATTTTGAGTTGCTGTTCCCTACTTGATGGGTTCGTAATATAACTTATAGTCAATTGCATTGATTGATTCAATTAAGCACTCACCTCTGCCTGGCGGAGATGTATTACTTTCATTGTCTTCGGAACTCTCAGAAAGTGAAGCTTCAAGCCACTGATTTAGAAGTTTATGCAACATTACGACATGCTGATCTTTATACAATAAGGCAATTAATTGTACCATAGTGACTGCCCATTTGGTCTGGAAGGAAAATAAAATACAAAACACACACCTCGACTCCATGAATTTGTTTTGAAAAAATATGAATAATATGTGACATGGTAGAAGAGCTGTCTCACCATCAGTGGAACAATTGAAGCACTTACCTAATCACAAAAGCCTGAACTAAAGGCAATGTAAACCCTGAAAATCATTTCTTAAAACGAATTTTCATAATGAGAATAACACACCATAAATTATTTTATAGATTTACTTACCGCATCTGGTATTATCATCAACTTTATAAGGACTTTATCAATTCCTTGACTAAAAATGTTCCATAGTATTTGGTTTTGGATGCCATGCAGTGCAGTTCCATTGCAGTTCGGACTTAATGTAAAAAAATCTTCTGGAATATGCAGAATGTTTCTTAGTAGTAACAATGAATTGCTAATGTTGTCGCATTGCTCTGGCGACAACTTAGCTTTTCGATCGACCTCTATATTTTTCTTCAAAAAGCCTATTATGACTCTTGTTGCCCAACGATCGGCAAATGCAGTTTTAGTCTCTGCCAGCAAATTATTTATCTCAAATATTGTATGTCTTCCGAAATCTGTTTTGGAAATTGCATTCATAGAAAGCAAACATTCCACTGGAATGGTTAAATTTACTAATACCCTTATCAGTAATTCTACAGTTTTATCTTCACTAGCGTGTAGTAAGAGTGGAATGAGATCTTTTTTAATATGTTGTCCAAAACTAATGTTTCGGCGGTAAGTGCGTAAATACTTGTCTTCTGATAGAATATTATGGAGGATTGTTTCTAATGCAGCTGTAAAAAAATAATACAATGTAATTAACAAAGACAAGTTCATAAAATATTCATTTGAAGAATTAAATAAAACTCACAATTGCAGTTTTTGTTTACGTGATATCTATCACCTTGTGAATAGCCAAGGTTGCCGAATGTACTATGAATTTGAGGACTTCGAAGCACCCACTCCATCTTCTATCTGAAAATAAAGGAAATAAGGAAAAAACGTAAAAAAAAAAATATTTAATACACCTATGCATCCCTCATATAAAAAACACTTGATATACTATACTTGAGATTATAGTTGTAAAAATAAAGGACCTCCTGACGCCCGAAGGACCTTTAACGACTTCCGTGGCCGAGCGGGTTTCATGGTGTCGCGGACTCGAGAAGTCCCGGGTTCGAATCCCGGTGGGGGCAGATGTTTGTGTGATGAATACGAGCATTTTTACTACAGTCATGGATGTTTAATATGTATTTCTATATAAATATACCTATATATGTACAGTATATGTATTCTATCCGTTACCCTAGTATCCCATAACACAAGCCTTATAGTGCTTACTTTGGGGCTAGTTTAATTGGTGTGTGTTAAAAGGAATAATAATAAAGTGGAGTCACAACTAGAGGTTCCCTGAGGTTTCACTCCCGTCAAGCTTAAAAGATGAACATAAATGTTGTCGAGGACTTTTTTTATAGACCTTAATGGGAAACAATTCCTTCATACATGATTTTAGTGTAATTTTAACTATTTAATCTTAAACGACCGTTGACGTACGTACGCACGTTCCAGGATGACGTCATAGGTCGGTTGCTCCGACCTATGACGTCATCCTGTATGACATATAGGATAAAACCAATCCGTATGCGACAACGACTGATGACGTAGGTATAGACCCAATTTTTAAGATGACGACATCTGTCGGTTCTCGCTAGCCTCGGTTACAAACGAATTCGGTAATGTACGGCAAGTACGTCATGGCTCATGATTCCCGAAACCTTGCAACAACTGTATCACGAGAATACTGTAATATAGGCTTACGTAATACTTAAACGACCGTTGATGTACGTGGCCGAGTGGTTTGTACACCGAGTTTCATGGTGTTGCGGACTCGAGAGGCCCCGGGTTCGAATTCCGGTGGGGGCAGATGTTTGTGTGATGAATACGAGCATTTATACTCCAGTCATGGATGTTTAATATGTATTTCTACATATACATACTTATATAGGTACAATATATGTATTCTATCCGTTACCCTAGTATCCCATAACACAAGCCTTATAGTGGTCACTTTGGGGCTAGGCTAATTGGTTCCCTGCGGTTTCACTCGCGTCAAACTTAAAAGATGAACATAAATGTTGTCGATGACTTTTTTTATAGAACTATTTTTTTTTTATTTATTTAGGACGAAAACAGTCTCACAATAGCTGTTACTTTTACATACTTAGTATAAATACATTACTCATTGTGACACCAACAACAATGTCCACATAATTAAGCATAAAAAAGTCCTGAGAGCTGACATTCTCTTTTAGTATAAAAGCATTACACATAAGAATTTGCTCTTAGTTATTACTATACTACAAAAATAGTAGCATAGTAATTTATACTTTGCTATTAGATATTAATCACATATGTTTTTTCTAGTAATATTTTCTTTAGATTTAAGATTTAAACATCGAACAGTTACAAACTTAAAAAATATAACACATAAATCTAGTCCACGTAGTCTGGCATCACATTTAAAGTAAAAACATGTAATGTTAGTTGTACATCAAGTTACTATCAACAAGTCTACACTACCATTTGGTAACAAAACAGGTCAGGATTATCTCAGTTTCTAAATTGATAAAAAAAACATATATGCCCAAGCTAATCACCACCAAGTGCCAAGAAAATATCAACATCATTAAATTTAATCTCATAATGGGAAACAATACAGTCATACATGATTTTAGTGTAATTTTAACTGTTTAATCTTAAACGACCGTTGACGTACATACGCACGTTCCAGGATGACGTCATCGGTCGGTTGCTCGCTCGCTCGCTACGAACCAAAATCAATCCGTATGCGACAACGAGTGATGACGTAGCGTTCATTAACGTTCTCGCTAGCCTCGGTTACAAACAAATTCGGTAATGTACGGCACGTACGTCATGGCATGGCTCATGATTTCCGACACCTTGCAACAACTGTATCACGGGAACACTGTAATATAGTCTTACTTAATACTTAAACGACCGTTGACGTACGTACGCACGTTCCAGGATGACTTCATGGGTCGGCTGCTCGCTCCCTCGTTACGAAGCAAAACCAATCCCGTGTGCGACCGCGACTGATGACGTACGTAGGCAAGTTTCAAGATGACGAGATCTATCGGCTGTCGCTAACCTCGGTTACGACAACTTCCGTAAAACATGGTAAGTACGTAATGTCATGGCTCGTGATTCCCGACCCCATGCAAAAACTGTACAACGGGAATGCTAACGGGAATGATATAGGCTTAAGTAATTATTACCTGGATTTTCTTTTACTGAAAACTTCTTTAGCGCCGTTTTGATTTGAGATTCGATGAAACAGAAGTAGTGTATTTGACACAAGATAGGTAGGTATCCGTAATTTTATCATCTACCATATGAGACGGATAGCCAAATGGTAAGGGTCTTGGGGTCGACACCGATTCGGTGACTAGGTATCGATATTCTTCAATTTTGATAATAATAGCATCAACACTTACTTTGATAGGAATACCACAGCGAGGAACATCATGAACATTAAAATTACCAGAGCTGAATCTGCTAATTTTTTTTTCAGTAGTTTAATCTGACCGCTGCTCTAGAGAATGATATGTCACATGCTGGGGTAAAAACGAAAAAATAATGTATGCCTTCCCCTCATTCTACATAAAATACCAAAATTTCAGTTCAGTAACTCTTCCGTTTACGATCTAGAGACTCGCGCGACATACTGACAAACAAACAGACGATACAGTGACAGCAATAGGGTTCCGTTTTAACCCTTGATACGAAACCCTAAAAATGATATAAATGTATTATCATTTCTATATTTTGTCTGACACTTCATTTGTATATGGCGTCGTACCAAACCAAAACAGCTGAATCAAATGCCATTAACTGAAAATATTCCTACCGATCAAAAAAGTCTAAGCAACAGGTTGTACGGTTTTAAACTTTCGAACTTTTTAAGGGTTCCGTTCAGCTAGACAGTTGAAATTTTCACAGATGATGTATATATTTTGCCGCTGTAACAATAAATACTAACTAAAAACATAATAAAATAAATATTTAAGGGGGGGCTCCCATACAACAGATGTTATTTTTGACGTTGTTTGGTCTATATTAATAACGACAACAGGTAGATGCTTGACAAAGAAATGTCCGTTAAGCTACCATGGCAAAGTGAGCAGAATCGCTTAAAAAAAGTGCATCAATTAGTGCTAATTTAGTGCCAAAACCTGAAATTTAATGCTCTCCTAGTTTCGCGAAAAATTAAAACACTGCCAGCTTTTAATTAAGCTAGCAGTATATTCCCTGAAACGCGAAACGGAATTTAGTGCTTAATGAGTGCTGGCAGTATCTGATAAAAAAATTGAGAAAAAAAATATTTTTTATCAATCAAAACTAGTTTGACAGTTTGAGCAAGTGACCGGGTTGAATACATTACCCTAGATCGAAGATCTATGATCATCAACGGTTAATAATTTAGTGCTCAATGAGTGCTGCCAGTATGTGATAAAAAATTAGGAAATTTAATTTTTTTATTAATCAAAACTGCTAGTATGACAGTCTGAGCAAGTGATCGGGTTGAAAATATCACTCTGGATCGAAGATCTATAATAGTCAACGGTTAATAATTTAGTGCTCAATGAGTGCTGCCAGTATGTGATAAAAAATTAGGAAATTTAATTTTTTTATCAATCAAAACTGCTATTATGACAGTCTGAGCAAGTGCCCGGGTTGAATACATCACTCTGGATCGAAGATCTATGATAATCAACGGTTAATAATTTAGTGCTCAATGAGTGCTGGCAGTATCTGATAAAAAAATTCGAAAAAAAAATATCAATCAAAACTGCTAGTATGACAGTCTGAGCAAGTGACCGGGTTGAATACATAATTTAATTTATTTAACGTTCCTGAATACGGCTGTAAGTCCTGAAGGTTTTTTCGAAAGATGTTTGTAGTAAGTAATTATAAATGAATCTAAAGTATGACTAGAAATTTCTCGAAATCCGGTACTAATCTTTTTGGGGTTCGGAACGAACGAATCTCCGACACAGCTAGGTACATAGAAATAAATCACTTCATCTGTGTCATCTGTATGTACCCCAAGCACGAAATCTGACAGGTCCGTATTTTATGGAAAATAAGCCGGCGCCTCTACCGAACGTAATAACAAACTGGCTTTTTACGAATACTTTCTCGATAGTTGGCCTTGCTTGGGGTACTGCTTGAAGTCCGAAGATATAGCGTTTAATTAAAACCATTTCAACCAGATTCGGCTCGGTAAAATAAAAAGTTATATTAGGGTCCCCTGCACGTAAAGTAGGAGTTTTCAAAAATGTGAATTATCTTAGATAAAAGTATAGAAACAAAATACGTATTTTCATCTTGTATTTCAAAAACTTTTTTGAATTTTCTTTTGTATCTTGTATAAAAATACCTTTTTCGGTATCTTAATATTTTGGAGATAATTTTTGTTAGTAGAGTAGGTTGGTATATATGTTACGCTCAAAGATCGAAAACGCTCAGAGAGCGGAAAAATAGCTCACAACGCGTTGTGGTCACAGTAAAACATCCACATGGCGAAATTCGTGTCATGGCTCTAATGAAAACGCGCACGACGCGTTGTGGCAATCACAGAAAGACCAAATGGCGAAATTCGTGTCGTGGCTGACATGCTATTCGATCTCAACGCGTTGTGGCAATGAAGAAAAGCCATGACGCGTTCTGAGCATTCATTGTTTTAACCATATCACGACGGACAGGTTGTAACTTGTCAGTGTCGGCTCGGGTGCAAAGACGCATTAAAACATCAGTTTTATTCATTTCTTTTCTGTTACTGAGAGTAAATGTTAATGTCAGCGCTAATTAAGACGAATAAAAAAGGATTTATCGATATTTTTTTGTTTCATTCAGTAACGTTTCATATTTTTCTGTACTCATGATAAAACTGC